GCTTCGAATTAGCTAATCTCTGGTAATATATCAAGATTTGCTTGAAGCTTCTGACATAAATATCTGTTCCGCTGGTGAACCTAGCAAAACTTCTTTATCAAATTTGGTGCAAAGTTTGATACTAAATTAAAGTAAAAAGTCAAAAGTAATTCACTAAGATGTTTTATCTTACATGTTTCAGGAAAAATTAATTAATTTGCATAATTACACTCATTTAAATTTAACCAATCCACATTTTAAAAGTAGAGTTACTGATGTAATATAATGAATAAATATATTTCATATAATGAATAAATGTGGAATATCCTCGATGTTAATGTATGGCATGATGACCATATAGCATTTCAACAATTGCAGTGTGAAAAAAAGCAAAATCAAACGCTTTTTTTCGCACTGTAATCGTTGTCTGATTTCGAATGTTTGAAAGTAGAGATTCTGGATAAAGCTGAATATACATAACTACAAATAAAAAAAAAAAAAAACTGAATATACGTAAAAAAAACGTAACCAATATTGATGTTAGTGCCAACTATTGTTTGTTAAAAGACTACAAAAGTGTACCATCTTCCCATTTCCAAATGGGTAGGATATAATAACAAATGCTTCGTTTCTATCTGTTTACAATGCAGAGAATATATGAACTGCAAAGTTATCAGCAAAAAAACAGAACTGTAAAAAATATAAAAATATTTTAAGCTCAAGCATTTAAAATGAAAGTCTTTTTTTCAATAGTTTATTATTGTATCATTATATCGGTACACTCTCTATCCAAACTTTGTTAATATCGATTGTTGCATGATGTTACTATTTCCTTTTTACTTGTCTGGATAATTCTGTTTGTCTAAATGCTCGCAGCAGATGGAGCAAGCATTATAAAAACTTTCTTTGAATTCCAATATTCACCATAAAAGAACGGCCACAAATAAATGAAACGGGAAAGAGGATGGAATAGCTATTTAATCTGTTGCCATGATTCCGTCAACATCAAGTATCATCTAAAGCAATTCAAACAGAAGAATACGAAAAAGACGACAGTAATGTATTGCATCTTCCTATCATAGTATAAATTTTTCTATGCATTATTTCAACCGGTAAGTTCATGTTTCTAATTTCTTTTGCTAAATTACTTTTTAAACTCATAAATGATAGAAGTTTAAAAAAATCAGACACTCTGTACTTTCCGTCTTTTCGTCATCATAATTTTCTACCGAATTCCACCGGTTTTCTTCGAGTCCGAATGCAACCATATCGGATAGATAACATATCAGCAATTAATTCAACATATACTTTAGGTTCCATATTTCTATTCCAAAATTACAAATTAGACAAAATATCACAGTATTTTCGGAAAAAGGTATTCTTCAAAAGTTTTTGGAAAATGATCATCTTTCGAATAATAATTTCTTAACATTCGTCTAGATTTGGCTACTTTCGAGAAGCCACGTTCATTACATACATTCTTATATCAGTCCACGCATCTGTCGGTAAGTTTTATTCGATATTTCATTCCGATTATATGTGAAACCATAATATTGCACCTTTACGGTAAACATTTGTAAAAATATATCATTTCGAGTAGATAGTAGCGAGAAAACAAAAGAAACAGAGAGGAGTAAGAATTGGTCTTACTTTCCGTCTTCCCTTCCCATCTACTTGCTGAAATTGAGGAGAAATGAAAATCATTACATCATAAAATACATACTAGATTCGTTACAGACGTGTGTTATGATGCCTTAAGGATCCGAAGTGAACCCGCAATTTGTAGTCATTCCACAGACTGTTATGATAATAATGCTGAATGCATATATAGTCTCACAGAATCACATCATATCTGCTGTAAGCCAAGACCTGATGCTGTTTTTCCTGGTAAATTATTCGAGAAATATAAATTAAATTTATTTCTTTTCAACGTTCATGTCACTGAGCTGGAAACATAAGCATATGGCCGTATGCGAATCATTAAATTGTTCAAATCTTCCACACTAAAACATATTCTATCACTACAAAAATCTATCCCTCGCAAAAAAAAAAAAACTAATTTTTATTTCAAGAATGCCCTACCGGACGAAAAATACTAACAGTGGGAAAATATATGCCAGTACTATGTTCAGTGAAGAATTCAGTTGAAGATGATATGTGTCCACAGGGATATGAATGCTTACCTTCAGTAACACGAGATAATGAAGAACAATATCATATTTGCTGCACGAAGATTTAAATTTTATTGTCCGGTAAAGAATGTATTATTGTTGAAATTGTTATAAAAAATGTATGTTGTCAATGCTATTATTGGGCTTACTTTCTTGTCATTAAATCAATAATTTATCAGATGCTGTAGATAAATTACTAAGCGACTGTAATTCATTGCTTGCATCTAACATCAAGTTTAAAAATAAAATAATTTTTAGATGACAGACAGAGGATAAGCAGAGAAAAGGAATTTAAGCAAGAAAAAAATAAAGAGATGAAAAGGTTAAGGCCAATATAAATATTATACCGAGCCTCGTATGGCTATTAGAAAAAATGAATCTTATAATTCCTAATTCGTAATTTTATATTTTACTCAAAAACATATTTCTTACTGTCTAAACGCAAAGTATACCCAGTAATTAGTGCGCAATGTCCACCTTCATCTATTTCCTCGTTATTATAAGTATCCACCATATGTAAAACACATGCGTTCGAATTGAAAAAATTTTAAAATCCTACCTAATATAAAAGTATGAATATTTTGCTAGCAAGAAATAGATTAACAAAGCACTATCAATCGTTAATTTTTTTTTTCCATTTTCGATCAGTGCCTTTTTACGAAGTATTTTGACTGTCAGCTAAAAAAAGATCTAATAACTCTTGGAACTACACCAATTTCAAGGAAGTCAATAATGCTATTCAGCTTATGAATTTGAATTTGTTTCTATGAATCCAATTCTGATGGACAGCAATTACAATTTAAAAAGAAAGAAAAAATGATAGATCTCAACGAGTTCATTATATGCGACTTGATTATAGCAATTTTCTATTATAAAGTTTTTTAATAATAATAAAACAACTAACTCATCATCGAATACTGGAAACCAAAATAACAAACGCCCACCAATAACAAGTAATTTACTGGCAAAATCGATGAGATCAAGGAATGTCGAGGAAATGGAATATTTCGCTTTTTCTGGGTAATGATTCGCACTGAAAAGATAACCAACAAAGAACAATTTATATAAGGATTATTTAAAAATGTTTAAGCAAATTATGCAACAATATTTCTTGGCCTATCTACCAAGAAAAGTAAAATCAGTAAAGCAGTAAGAAAATTCACTGTTGAGCATTTTTGATTATCCATGACTCCTTCTTTTCTTTGATGCCAACTTTCTGCCCCCTTTCTCTAACTCCATAAGGTGCTGAAAAAAACAATTCCTGGTTAATAAAAAACTTAACATGTATCTTCTTCACCAATAACCAAGACATAAAATTTAAATACATGAAAGAGAATCATGAATCTAGCTCAGCTCCTGCTTTATTCCTCACCTAAAACGAATATCCAGGGAAGCATGCTAGAGATCTTTACATTCCTGCAGATAGAAAAAAAGAAACAAAATTTCAGGAAATTAAAATCTTTCTCTGTAAATCTTTTTCAATGGATAAATAAAACTTACGATCGGTGATTATTGCATCAAACACAGGAAAAGTGCCGGAATGTGTGCCAGGGCGCCATAATAAGTGCTGACTAGAATCTGCTATCACCAAACCCATAAAATAAACATCTGTTCCATACTGTTGAAAATTTGCAACAACCGATTCCTTAGCTGTGTTGCACTCGACCCCAGCACGTGACGACCTACCTATGAAACGCAAAACAAATAATGACAACACCTTAGCAATCATTCTTCAATTATATATAGCCAAAATTGATGGCTAAGAAATTTAACCCGAAATAATAGAGCTAAAAAAAAACAAGTTATTTTCTGAAAGAAGTATACTTAGTTGAAATTAATTAAATGGTGTCTTGCTTTTAACTGCCAATATCTAGAGCACAGAAAATTTTCTAGAAAGAGTCGTAATTCGAATAGCATATTACCCACAGCTCTGGCAATTTGATAATTTATCTCGCTTCCTAAAACAGCAGCACCAAAATGAGCAGCAGCAATCAACAGTCCACCTGAAATTTGTCGAAAAGCATTAGTTAATATGCAAGGAATTAATAAATCATTTAAAGTTTATGATGCTCTTTTTTTTCTAATCCAAAGTCTCATAATTCGTACCGCTTTGATTACTAGTTCCGCAATCAATATTTCTAAATTATGAGCACATTTAAAAGTAACTGCTAACTAAAGTTAATGAAGCAAACCTGTCCCACAGAATGGATCAAGAACAAGAGATCCAATATCCACTTTTGCTATATTAACTTGAAGGAATGACAGTTCCGGATCTATCGTTGTATTACCAATGTAACATCGATCAGCCAAAGAGTAATCGTTTTTTAACTGACCTTGGCCACATCCTATCTATTAAATCTATTTTATACAGAAATAGGGATGTTATTCGCAATAAATAATTGATTTATTTTATATTTTTTTAAAGCTCCATTTTAAAAATTGTTCGGTTATATTCCTACAAAAATAATTTTTTTAAGTGCTGGAATGATTTTTTCTTTCAATTTTAAAGATGCATTATTAGAAAATAAAAATTTATAAAGCACCAGTTTCCCAAAATGAAGTTTCTGAAGTGAATTTGAACCATAATCTTCGATAACATAAAACGTGTTGCATGGACTAGTCAAATCTACGGGAGATTCCTTAAAATCAAGTGCTTTGCCAATATCCTAAAATGAGATATGCTTCAAATGAGAAAAAATCAGAATGGGAATAAATATTTCGGGGATTGTTGAGTCAAATAAAAACTAAATACCGCAATTATACTTTGAAGAGCAATGCGGTTGCATTTTCTTCCGATAGACCGTATGCGTATGGCAAAAGATTGGTCGGCCGAATCACAGTTCTGGAATTCAAAATTCATGAAAACAAAGAATAAGAGATGAAAATAAGAAACCTACTTCATAAACTTAGACCAAAAATAACTGTGAGTAAAATTCCTAATCTATTCAAATTTTAAACTTTGCAATGTTTCATTGGAAAATTTTCTCAATAAAATGAACAATATGTACTTTTATAACATTCCTTCTTTCCTTGATATTTACGCATAATTCGTCGTAATTATTGCAGCTTGCTATCCATTCTACTGCAAACTTTATAAGAACTGATCGTGAAAGTATTAAGATCACATTATCAACAGATGGAAATTCGAATACATAAACATGCTGCTGAAATTTAACTGCTACATTGTATCAATATGGATGTATACCACATAAATGATATCAAATTACATTAGTTCAAGGGAATGTTAGCAATCCAAACCAACGGGCAAGAAATGCACAATCCAAAGCAAAAAAAAAGCAAAAAAATCCAAAAAAAACCGAAAATAAATCCTGCAATCCTCCAACATTTATCTTCACCCCATTGACAACTAGTAATCACTAGTGATCAGTTTCTTTTCCAGGTGATATAAAAAAAAAAGTTGTGATCAGTGATGATCTGATTTGAAGTAACTTTCCCAAAAGTAGTCAAATTACCTGGTTACAAAGCAATGAAATGTTGTTGTCACACGGAATCCCGTACAAATTGCAAATACTTTCCATTTCAGCATGTCGGAAACCAGCGTGTACTTGCGAGAAGACAAATATGAACCTTCTCATAGAACCTGAAAATGAACTTGCCAAAAAGCCGACAGTTTCTGATTATGGAATTAAATTACAGTTATCTTACTTAGCATGATTTTTTGATGATAACTGCGAACGCAACTTTACGTAACACAATCATAACCTCACGCGATAAAACACAGCCTCCAGCAAAATCTCAACCATGACCATTACGTGAATATTATATGGCCCCAATTTGGAACATGTTGAAAATAAATGATATCACGTAACTAAACATTCCTCATCTATTTCCGCCAAGAAAATTAACAAGGCATTAATAATTTTAAAGTATAATTTATAAGGTAAAATTTCCATTAGTATATAATGAAGCCGATGAATTATTGCAGGAAATTAATAATCCATTTAAAGTACTGGAAATGGTTAAGCATTCTGATAAAAAATGATGAAAAGATAGAACACATTCAGTTAAAATATAATAAACTATTGTACACAGCAAAATCAAAAAAAAAAAATAACCGGTAATTTGTCGGTGATATCCCAGCAGTTATTTCTAAATAGAATAACTAATGAGACAATTTTGTTATCACCAATTCTATTCTAATCTGATAACAATTCATCGATTATTCTATGGTTGACGTAACAACTGCATTACTGATCATATTTCTGCTCTGATAATTTTATTCTGATAATAATTTATCGATTACTTCTTGGTTGACATAACAACTGCATTTTTATGATAATAATTCGTTGGGAAACTCCTTGTCAGCATACATCTAACACCTCAATTTCTTTATTATGCTAACTGACAAAGGGATGATATAATTAAACTATCTCAAGTCCGCCAAATAGGATAGGTGATGTATCGCTGATTTTATCATTGATATGGTAGCCAATGTGATTGATTCTCCCAACTGATCAGAATCTTCTTCCACCAATATTATTTAAAGAATCCATTTTTTTGCCATTAACATTTGCATAAATTATATTTAAAAAATGGCAATATTAGTAGAACAAATGGTCAAATGTTTCCTGATAATAATTGTTATAAATTAATGATTAATATTATTTTGCCCCTAATCATTACATTTTAATTAATATTGCTTAATTAGTCCGAAAAAAAGTTGGTATATCAATTAATTTGGCTTGTCTAATTAAGTTCTCATAAAGAACTTTGCTAAATTCAGATTAATTCGTCTAAGTCATATGAAACACATCAACAAAAATAATGAAATTAATCACAGTTTTATCAAAACAGTCTTTTATAAACTCTCAAATTTATTCGCAAATCCTTAAACTACCGACTGTTTTTTATAATACTGCAATATTTTCTGAATTCAATTTATAAAAAAAAATTGCAACCTTCAAAATATAAAGTAAGAAAGGCAAACAAGTAAAAGTTATAATCATTAAATGCATGCAATATCAATCGGAAAAATCTCGCTAATTTTATCATTTTTGTTTACCGCAAATTTAATAACAATGTTTTAATTTTTGATCCGTTTTAAAGAAACGAATTGTCTGAGATATCGCAATAACTGATTCTATTTGTCTTTGGCTAT